TCCTGGGATTTGTACATCTCTGTTTTAATGTATGATTTTGTTTTTATAAATATAAATAAAGGGATGCACAGATACCAGTTTTGCAAGTACGAGTACTGGTACTTGCCGAGTACTTACAAGTACGAGTACTAATACATTTTTGTTTATTGTCATGTGACAGTTTTTCTAAAACAATACAGACTAATGATTTCAGGACAGTGGTGAGTGCCAGAGCCAGGTCCTACCTGCAACTGCTGCAACCCTGGTAGTTCTCATGAAAATGCCAAGTATCTGCACTGGTACTCGAAAAGTATCTGTGCATCCCTAATATATATATACTGTATATATATCTATATCTATATAGATATAGATATATATACGCAGTTATGGTCAAAAATATTGGCACTCCTGCATTTCTGTCAGATAATGCACCACTTCACGCAGAAAATTGTTGCAATTACAAATGGTTAGGCATTCTCATGTTTATTTCTTTTGTTTGTATTGGTATGACACAAAAAAGTGGAGGGGAAAAAAAGCCAAATCTGACACATTCCACACAAAACTCCAAAAATGGACTGGACAAAATGATTGGCAGCTTCTCCAAATTGCAAGAAATAAATGCATTCCACGTTTGTGATGCTCCAGTAATTTGTAAATAAACTCACCTGTATGTGTTAACAGGTGCTGACAATATACAAATCACATCGGCAATCAGTTAAAATGGTGACAAATTGACTCAACCTTTCTGTTGTGTGTCTCTGCATGCCACAGGGAACAACTGTGTCAGCTCGCACTATATGTTGCCATCTGAATGAAAAATGGAGACCCAGGAGGAGACCCAGGAGGACCCCACTTATTCTGACTCCGATTGTTGTGATAGCGATTTATCCCTTGTTGAGACCTCTAAGCCGTGTTCGTCCACAAAGGTTGCTTTATTCTGAACGTGAAGATAACAGGATAACAGCAGATGGATGGTTACAGTATTATGCGGTCAAAAAATTATGCCTTTCCTAGCGTACTATGCAGAGTACATGTCTCCTGATTACATGTGGCTGTTAGTTGTTGCCATGACACAGGAAAACTGACAACAAGACGAAGGGTGGGGCTTATATACAGAGCAACTGTCATCGATCTCAGGGACATCAGGGAAAAAACAGGTGCAATATCACAAAGGGCCACTAGATGGCAGCATAGGAACTAACAAATAAAACGTCCATAGAAAATGGTATAGGGAAAACACACTATATAAATCTATCTACTAACATTAATGTAATAACATATTCTATGCCCCATTGGGGCGGCACACCACTGCTGACACAGTAACATAAAAAAGCCAGATTGGAGTTTGCAAAAACATACCTGAGGAAGCCAAAATCCTTTTGGGAGAATGTGCTGTGGACAGACGAAACAAAAGTACAGCTTTTTTTGCTAAATCCTTCATTATTCTACTGTTTTCAGAAAAAGAAATGAGGCCTTTAAAAAAAAAAAAAATCAGTCCCTACAGTCAAACATGGTGAAGGTTCACTGATGTTTTGTCGTTGCTTTGCTGCTTCAAGCACTGGATGTCTTGACTATGTGCATGGCATTATGAAATCTGAAGACTACCAAAGAATTCTGGGCATCAGGGGGGTACGGCCGATACTCATGCAAGGGGCCCGGGCAGCATGAGGGGTTCGGGAACCTTACATGGGTATCGGCCGACGGCCATACAGGTGACAGGTGAGGAGGTGGCGGCGGCCGGGCCCTGGCAGCACCAGAGGAGGCCAGGGAAGGCACACTCCAGATCCTCACCTGGGGTGCTCCGTGCGGGCCTCCGGTGTCCCCATGTCTCCACGGCACATTCGATTTTTAAATATGGCGGCAGCCATCTTCAAACCTGGCAAGTGCCAAGATCACATTTAATGTATTGCCGAATAGTGATGGGTTGCCGGTTCGAATCGAACGTAAGTTCGACTTGAACATTGCCTGTTCGAGCATTCGCCGAACTTTTTGGGATGTTCGTGGTCTGTTCGACCACGCAACATCCCACAATGCAATGTGCCGGCTGAAGCTCTAATTGGTTAAAAGGCTTGCACCTGACCACTGGTCAGGTGCAAGACTTTGCCCAATCAGGGCTTAGTACTCAGTTAGAGCCATGATTGAGCAAAGTCATGATGACTTTGCCCAATCATGGC